CCCCCTCCCCGCAGCGGGCTCTGTGCATCCCTCCTTTGTGCTGAGCCCGGACGGGTCAGAAGGGCCTGTGCGGATTAGTCGGCTGGTGTGTGATTCCCCAGCTGCTGCTGGTGGCGATGGCTGGACGCTGTCTGGAGATGTGCTGTCCCTGTGCAGGCTCGTGTGTCCCCAGGGCAGGTGGTGGATGAGCTGCCCCATTGCGTTGCTCGTGGTGTGCTGCACAGGACCTGCTCTTCTGCAGTCCTCCCGGACGGGTCAGAAGGGCCTGTGCGGATTAGTCGGCTGGTGTGTGATTCCCCAGCTGCTGCTGGTGGCGATGGCTGGACGCTGTCTGGAGATGTGCTGTCCCTGTGCAGGCTCGTGTGTCCCCAGGGCAGGTGGTGGATGAGCTGCCCCATTGCGTTGCTCGTGGTGTGCTGCACAGGACCTGCTCTTCTGCAGTCCTTGCAATGACTTGAAAGAGCACCTGTGGTGTGCTGGAGCATGAAAAGGGATCCTCTATTGCACAGTGCTTTTCCCAGATGAGGTAGAGCTTAATTACTTGTCCAGGAGCTGGCTGTGGTTTAATGCCCCAGACCAGCCTAAAAAAATTTGGACAGGAAGGCCCTGAGGAATGTGAAGTCCTGTGTCCTCTCAAAAATCTCAGTCTTTTTGCCTGTACCTTTTGCTACTTCCATGCACTTCAGCCCCATGGGACAGACCCTCTTAGAAGCTGCTCTATTACCTGTTTGAAAGGGAAAGTTGGCTCTGGTTTTAACCATGTGCATGGACCTTACCTCCATCTACCTTCTCCCTTGTCTCCTTACAGGTACTCCAGGAAATGAGATGCTTTGCCCCTGCTCACTTGCATGTAGCCAGCATGTCATGTAAAAGGTCCCTCCTCCTTCTCCCCCACCCCCCCACCCCAACCCTGGGGAGCTCATCATTGAATCCTGGTCCTGCCCTGGCTGTCCACATGGCATCCAACCAGCCAGTTACTAGGCTGTGCTTTATAAACTCCTCTTTGTAGCCTAGCACCCTTCTGGGGTCCTTGTGCCCAACCCTGGCATCAGGGTCAGGACGCTTTCTCCCACTGGAGAAGGGAGTGGGGAACACCTGTGGACCTGCCTTTATTCTAGCCGTTTTTCCCTTCTGGCCTGTAGGGATAGTAGCTGGCAACTCCTTCAAGGAGCATAGTTGTGTGCCTGGCACAGTTCAGAGTCCCTGATGGTTTGTGGTGAGAAGGATCCCTGATAGATGTTTGTCTGGAGACTGGTAGGATTCATCCCACTTTCTGGAACTTCCTACTGCAGCTGCTTTCCTGCACTTTTCCAGACATTCATTCCTGTCCCATCTGCAACTGTTATTTGTAACAGTTAGGTATAACTAGTAGTTATCACTACACTTATAACTACTAGTAGTTTTACCCTCTTATACTGAGCGAATATAATCATTTTTGTCAGCCCATGTAAGCAGTTTTTTGTGACATCTGCTGGCTCTTTAGGAATCCTTTTGCAAAGCTTTTAGATATCAAAAATCCAAGAGTGAGATCCAGGGGAAAAACTGTGATATGATAACAGAAAATGGAATGGGTACAGAGGTGTGAGCAGAGAAGGAAACTAGATGTAGCAGGGAGCAAAAGGAGGAAGTTAGGAGCTTAGAGTTTTGACATGGCAGCTAAGCTGAATGAAATTAAGAGGACTTCTCCTTCTAGGTAGCTTGTCCTGTCAGTATTCGTTGTTTAATTTTGAACTTGAAAAAAATCACAGAATGGCAGCAGCAACTTCCCGATAGCAATTAAAAAAATTGGAAGTATGAGGGTGGAAATATCTTAATAGAAAACTATGGGAAGGAATGGGTTGTGGCTTCTAATGGAGTTGCTGTTGTGGACTAAACATGACTTTTTTTCTTTTTTGAAATAACTACACAGACTAGACCTGATCCTTCTGTTAGTGATGATCTGGCAAGAATGGGGCCTGGTCTGTGAAACAAAACAGAGGAACAGCAGTGTTTTAATTCTTCCAGTACTTTTTTCTTTTAATCCTCAGTTCCTGATCTCATATGACTGCAGGAGGATCTCAAATTTCATATGGGTAAGGGAGTAAATTTTATAGCCTTGGTAGTTGCAGAGGAAATCTTGGAAAATATGAGCTCTGAAGGCTCAAACTAGAAAACAAAAAAGTCCCAGTTTCATAATTAAAAATATATTTTTAAATTCCTTCAGTTCTCCATAATATGAGAGTTGTATTAAGTTCTATGCACACAAAGAACAAAAAACCTGAGGTGTTATTTCCTGTTCTATCTACCTGGCATGGGCCAGAATTAAAAAAGCATAAAACGCTATCATGCAAGTTAAGCTCATAACCAGACCAGCTGTGCTTCCTGTTCCCTATCCCTTATACTTAACTGCCTCCACACTGCTCAACTTTGTTCTTGCTGTTTCTGACCTGGTATTTCCATGCCTGCTCTCAAGCTATATGTAAATATGGAGGGAATATTCTCTTAAGATGTGTGCAAGTGGAGACATCTGATCTAATGGAAGTAGTTCGAACGCATGGTCAATGTAAGGCCCACATCTTTCTTAAAGTATATTTTCTTGAAACTCAAGAAATAAAGCTTAATCTTTCCTTGGGTTTACTATTAAAATTTGGTGGTAGCATAAATGAAATTAGTCCTCTTTTGGACTTTGCAGCGTAAAATCTGTGTCTTTCATCTTCAAAGCCACAGCAGACTGTTCTCAGTGTTCCTTCTTTTGTGGCATGGAAGAATTAAGAAAATATGCACATGCTTCATTTCTAATGTGTGTTTTAACTTAATCTCATAACAAGATGATTAGTGGAAGAGAAGCAGACACTGTGTTGAAGCAATGAAAACAAATCTCTAGGGTTTTTTTGAAGGGCTAAAATGTTGAATATCTCTTCACTTCACGTTGTTTCCTTTTGTCCTAATTAACTTTTACTTATTTCCCTGTTTTCCTCTCTAGAGGGTATTGCAAAGAAAAGGATTCAGACTTCTAATTATAGTGTATTGCTGTTATAATGGTTAATGTGCCCCAACAGAAAAACATCTTAAGATAGCAGTGTCTGAAATGGGTTTTTTGTATTTCAGAGGCCCTATACTTACTTTTGCGCCTGTCTTGGTAGGTCAATGACTTTGAACCACACTAGATCAATTATGAAAATAGCAAGAGCTTTCTAGACATCAGGGAGTGTATGCAGTATACTTGATAAAATTGCTTCTGGTCACTTGGGAAAGACCAGTGGAACCAGGGAAGGAGGAGTGACCAACATAATCCATTTTCTGTGCTCAGAAACAGAGCCTTCAAATGAGCTCAAACTTGTGCAGTATTGACAGTAAACTTTAGCTAAAGATCTTCAGTTTGGAATCTATCAAAATTTCTTTTTAATTTCTCTTTCTTGACAGGCAGTCCTCTCTAGGGCTCTCTGTAGCTTCTCCTCCACCCTGGCAAAGTGAAGCTGTGACTATTTCACCAAGGAAGCTTCAGCTAGCAGTTTCTCAAACCAGTTTTAATGATTGCACTCAGAACAGTGAAGGAAATACTTAACAGACTCTAGTCTGTTTACAAATAAACTGATCAGAATAATGGGCTGCATTAAGGCGGGTTCCTTACTTTTGCTCTCTGAGACTGGTTGGCTGAGATGCTTTGTGCTTTCCAGCAGTGGCCTCAACAGCTTTCTTGTGTGGAGCAGCCTGTTTCCTTGCCCTTCCAATCTTGTGCTTAATATGTGTTTTACCTGTATGCTGCTCTCGGCTTCCTCCCATACTGTTAGAGGTCCAATTTGATGCTTAGCAGTAAAACAGCTGATGGTTTCAACATTTGTGTATCTGTCTATGCATTTCTTTGAATGGGGCCCTGCTCTTAAAGATGAATGACTTGATGGATTGCCTTGTATTGCATATAGATAGATATTTATGTATTTGAGAAACTAAAGCATAGTGGCTTTTTTGGTTTGTATTTTGTTTTCATCCTTGTTGGGTACTGCAGTTACTGGGGAATAACATGGGACTTGTTGTGGCTGACACATGTTCAGCTGTTTACTTCCAGAAATCACAGAATACTTTGTTTTCCTTAGGGAATGACTGTTGTTGAGGCATGTGCGAGGAGGAGTCTTGCTTGACTTCTAGCTTTCAGTTGTCTGAATTAGCAGTTAACTAACAAACAGCAGCAATTAAATCAAATGCCTACTTCCATCTCTGACAGACTTCTCCAGTACATATCCAAGTACTTATCCAAGTCACAGGCAAAGAAGTCTGTCCTGGAAGATCCTGATGAAGGGAAGGAAGACAGGTTTAAATACTGCAACATGGGCTGGCTTTTAAATGAAAGCAATTGTAACTACTTTCCTTTCTACTGTGGACTGGAGGCAGCTTTCTCATGGTCCAGCCAGATGTGCTGTTTTTCAGAGCCTGGAATTCCCCTGGGTTTCTGGTTAGCTTTTTCTAGATGGTAGCTTCTTGGGAAGATACCTCCTGGGTTGCTAGCCACTGTGGGTAGAGGTAACCATCCAATTTCTGTAAGCCAGAGTGTCAAAGTACAGACTTCCTCATGGGTAGCAGCAGAAATAACTTTGCTAGAGCTGTCTTTGCTAGAGCGCGCCCTTCTAATTCAGTAAGGCTTTCCCTGCCCTTGTTTATCCACATCCAGCAGACTCCTCATGCCTGTTACCTTGCACAGAAAACTGCTTTGGCATCAGCACTAGTTTGTTTTCTTTTTGTCTTGCTTCTGAATCTAGCTTCCCATGGGCTTCTAGGCTTAGAAGCCTTCTGGGAACCAGCTTTGCTATATTACTTTTTAAAGTTTTCCTGGAGTTCAGAGAAAGTCAAAAGGAAGTGTGGCAGCAATATGCTTACCAGCTCTGAGCTCAAAACCAGTGAGACTTGAAGTATGAAGTCTTTATTTAGCATGGCTTGCTTTCTTTTTTTATCTTTTCGGAACAGAACAAAAATCTTCTGTGTCCTTGCTCTTGCGGTTATATAGGACAGGAATCTAGGGAGAGAAGCTGAAAAGTCTCTAACCTGGTGAAGGAGAAACATACCTTTCAAAGCATATAAATCTTGCATTAGATGTCTTTAGAGTCCAGTAATCATCAAGTACTCCTTTGAACTAAGGTTCTTTCTCTCAACTGTGTATTATCTTCCAATTCTCCTTTGGTGACAGCTGTTACTTGCTGGAAATTCAGTATAGAACCTCCTCCTAGCTTCCTCTTTTCAAGAGGAAAGCTAGTCTCTCCTTGTTGCAAAGATTCAGCCTTTGCAAATAATGCCCCTTTGACTGTAAGACTTCCTATCTAAAGAAACAATGTAGCTGTCCAACAGTAATAGTGGAGATATTACAGTTGTTTTCAGTCTAATTGTAAAGCAAGTGTTGTCTCTTCATCTGTATTCAATGACAGCAAACTTAATTAGGCCCTTTATTCCATAATGGAGATAATGCAAAACAGAAAATATACAAAGAAGATCCAATTCTAATATGCTGAGTAATCTACTTACAGGAGTGAATATTATAAAGTAGTTAGTCCCACTACTTTCTCCTTTTTGACTTATGTTTTTTTGTGTTCACAGATCTTCTGCAATTTTCTGTCGCTGAATGCCATCAGAGGGGGGAAAAAAAAAACCTAATCTACTTGAGTCTCTTGTAATGTATCCAGGGGCTGTTCCAGGAGGTGAAGGAAATAATGGACATCATGGAAAACTTATTTTTTTCCTTTTTGTTTTTGGAGCTGTCCTGCTCTGTGCTGGATTCCTGCTTTCAGTCTTTATCCTACAGTCATGCCCATCTGGAACCTTCAGTGACTGCAATGGGGTCCTTAAGGCTGCTGGGCCTCTGCTGGCTGTAACTGGACTAGTTTGTGTTTTATTGGCACGATCAAGGGCCAGGCTCTATATAAGACAGAGACAATTGCAAAATGAGCAGGTATACAGCCTTGTTTTTTGTCAAGGGAGCTGTCAGTTTGCCCAGTTTCTTATCTTTGGATTCCTGTTTTTAACAAGTGGAATGCTAATTAGCATCCTGGGCATTTGGGTTCCTGGCTGCAGCCCCGGCTGGCAGGGTGCACAGCACAACCACACCAGCAGCTCTGAGGTGGACCTGAAGGGCTGTGGATTCCTGTCTCTGCAGATCATGGGCCCTTTGATTGTGCTCACTGGGTTATGTTTCTTCGTGATAGCTCATGTTAAAAAGAAACAAAACTTAAATCTCAGCGAAGAGTCTTGTGAAAACGAAGAACATCCTCAGAGTCCAGAATCTTTTCAAGTTACAGTAGGTGGGTGAATAATGCGTGAACTTTAAATTTGAATGTGTTTTTTTCCACTAAGAATTTACCTCTGAGTTTTAACTCGTATTGGCTCTGCATGTCTCAATTCTGGCATGTCAAACCAGACAAAACAAAGTTTTGTCTTGCATGTTTTTCAAAAGGTTACTTCAGTTATCTTTCTCTCAAGGATAAAACTGCCCCTTTGGCATCAAAAGAAACATCTGAACGTCTGTGCCGATGAAACCATGTAATCTGGCCCAAATGAGTCCATTCCTACTGCCTTTCCCAGAGAGTGAGTTGACATTGTAAATTGCAGGTCTAATATTTTAATCTTAATTTTAGCCTTGAGTGCTGCTGACCCCTTAAACAGGAGAATCTGATTCCTATGCAGTATACCATGTTTTATTGAATAATGGCCACATCTTCCATCAGATGTAATTGCAGGATGCTGCTGTTACTTGCATAACACTGAATGAACTCATTACGTTAGCAGGACGTGCTCCCCTGCATATCACAATACGCTGAATACCCTATAAACACATTCTGTGTATAGACTTTTCTAATAGCTTTTTAGCACTCACAAAGGGTAATGAGTCAGTCATAGCATTGTTCAGTCATCTGACTGACTAGAACTAAGTCCATTATGCACAGTTCTTGCCTTTTTGGCCTGTCAAGCCAATGTACAGACCTGTAACTTGGTAATTTGCAGAAAAGATGAAGGTTTGATGTCAGTTTCAGGAAAAATTAATATTTTTGTCATAACACTGGAATGGATGTGGACAACATTTATAAGAGTCTTATTTTAGGTATGCAAGGAAAACTAAATCCTTGCATATCCTTAAAGTAAACCAACAGAAATGATGTGGTTTGCACATCCAGCTTCTGAAGACAGCCAACAGTGAGGAGACTAGCATCCTGTAGCTAGATAGAACATTTTTTTATTATAGTTGTATTTTCTAGATTAAATCCTCCATTTATGAATATGATGCATCTCTCTTGGGATAACTTTGTTTCTGAATGCACTTCCTGTGTACTTCTGCAGCGCAGAATATAACAGTTCTGTATGTGGGATCATTGCGCTCCCATCCTAAAAGATAGGTAAGTATAGATACTGTAATGCAGAACACAGGGAACTTTCTCCTAGCATACAGTCAGGATAAACAGTGGTGTGAATTTTTTCAAGGGTAGTAATTAGTGATTGGGTTTTTCCCCCCCAGGTGATGCTGTAATGGTATTCCCACCTCCACCACCTCCTTATTTTGCTGACCCTCTGTCACCAACTGTGACTCACTGTCTTATGTCAAGTGGTTTGCCTGCAAGTGAAAACCCTCCACCATACCACACTATCTTCAGTGATGGGTAAGACTGTTTTCTTGTTCATCTCTGGAAATCCAGGATGTTTCTCAAGGTATCTAAAACAATGTTATTAAATCACTGAATTAACTCTCTACTAGGAACTACGAAGTTTTCTTGTGCATCACTGGGCTTCTCAGATACCTTACTGTAAATGACATTAAAATATTCTGTGCAAAAGGAGAATCAAAACCAAAGTGCCCCCGGAGCAGTTAAATTCTTACTAGATTATAACAGAAAAGAACTTTTTTAGTGAAAAGAAAGCCTTAAATCAGTGGCCTTATCTACATATTCTTAGTTTTATTGTATGAACTGCCCAAGAGAAGGTGCCTCTGAAAGCCATGCTGCTGTAGCATGATGTCCACACTGTTGGATATTAGGAAGCCTCTGCACAACCCAGCCAGTGAGTGCTCAAGTATGACACCTGTGCCCATGCCCTGCACCCCTTGGAGAGCCATTCCAGCATGTCCTGTTCTTGCTGGGGCCTGTACCTCACTGCCTTAGGGAAAGGTCCTTGCTGGCCTGCCCTGTTCCTGCTGGGGCTATGTTGTGATAAATGGTAACATTGCACTGTGGAGAAGAGCAGGGGGCTCTTTGGTGCTTGAGAAAGGGGGTTGTAATGCCATGGCATATCAAGATACACCTTATGCCCTTGCCCTGTGCAGCTGCAGTACAACCACTCTTCTATACATGGACTATAGGTGACAAGCTAGGGGCTGCCACCACCAAACCCAGGTGGTGAGAGGTGCTGATTCAAACGTTATCTGTAACATTGTCTGTATCACAAGAACTTGGAGGGTCATCTTCCCCTCTGAGATAGCAGCAGTGAACTGCTAACTTCAGGATGAAAGAGGTCACGGCAAGAGCCACATACTGGGAGCCAGAACTAGATCTGGCTAGAAGTGAGGTACCACGTGCCAAGAGCCAGTCTGTTTTCAGGTCCTTAAGTGGTCCAAGATTGAGTAGACTTTACCTTTTAGAAGCTCCTGTGTGGGCTCCTTTTTGGTCTATAGTTCAGTAAGCTGTGTTGGGCTGGGTCATTAGGATGACTTTAGACTACAAGACTATGCTGCAGTGATGGCGCTTAGGACACTGCGGGTAAGAGCTCCAGTCTTGGATATATCTGCATTTTTAGTAGTTGGGACGTTTCTGTAATAGCTTTCTCACAGCATCCCCCTTCTCTCCACCCCCCCCCCACACCCCTTTAATACATAAAACAGAGATTTGGGAGGGGAGGAGGGAAACACACTCACACTAAAATGCTCTATCAAAAATGATGTGCACTTCTTGGCTACCAGGGGACACGTTCTCCTAGTGTGTTTTGGGATGGCTCCCAAACAGGAAAGAAAAAGATCGCACACCTAACATCTAGGGAAGGGAAACACCAGCTGCTTGGTTCCCACTGATTGAGGTTCAGCTTGAGGTTGATGGTTTGTGCTGAGAGGTGTGCTGTCTGATTAAACCCTAACAACACATATGCTTCACGTCCACCGTTTTCCTCCTTAAATTGCTTTTGAGACTATTTTGTTTGCCCAAAGCTGATGGGAATCTGTTGGTTCTCCTTGGTGCCCTACACATGCTAATTCAGGGTGATAAGGGCAGCTATGGGAATGTGAGGGTAATGGGGTTGATCAAGCAAAAACTTTCCAGAGGCCAATGATTCCTGTGATGAGGCAAGAATTGTTGTGTTTATTTAAAAAAAAAAAACAAAAAACTTGTCAAGTGCAAAAGCCTTTGCCTGTTTTCAGATTGTGATTGAAATATGTCATCTCTGAGCTGTAAAAAGCTCATATATTATTGCAATATAAGGACACCTGAGCTGGGGGGGAGGGGGCACCAAAAAGAAGCTTCCTTATTGGACCAGGTCTTGGAGTCCACAGTTGGAAGGTGTTTTGTACCAGCTGCTGTGGGTCATCGAGTTTGGTACCACACAGACTGTGTCTGTGCTGCAGCTCCAGTGTGCCCCGTGCTCCCTTCTGGCATATATGTCCCAGGCATGCATACAAAGGAAATGGGTTGGGGGGGAGGAATGACGTGCCCCAGGTGTGACTCTACATTGCTGCTGTCCCTGAAACTCCACACAGGGTAAAGTCTGAGGGAGTCTTTACTAGCATTGTCTGCAGTCCCTCAAAAAAGCAGTTCAGATTAAATACATTTAGAAGACCGGCCTGGAGTGGATCACCTGGAGAAGTTTGGGGTTATGCACAAAAACTGTGTTCTGCTCTGGTCTTATAGGCAGCTGAGAATGAGACAGAATGTCTCTTGCACCACCTGTGTGTAGAACAGTAAACAAAACTCAGAGGTCTTAAGGCAGCTTAGAATTTGAACTTGTGCTTGGTAAAATGTGTTATTGAAGGCTGTAAAAGGATGCATGCAGCACATCCTGCCCTAAAAAAGGAAAAGCAAAGGAAGGAGGGGAAAAAAGGCAAGAGGCAAAAAAAGCTAGTCTTATGGCTGTCAAATTTCCTGTGAGCGTCTTCCTGCTGGTGCTCATACCAGGTGCCCTTCCTCCGCTCCTTTTCCTAAGTAATCCCCTGTGGCTAGATCAATTGCCTCAATGTGGGAATGTCCTGTGTTGGTGCTCAAAACCTCATGTGTGGCCCCATTAACTCAATCATACCTGTCTGGACTTCTCTGGACCATAAACACGTGTACCCAAGCAGGTAGTTTGCAGCCCAGCATGTTGGGGCAATTTCTAGTGGGTTACACGTTTCTAGTTGGGACAAAACACTTCAATCTTGGATGCAGAGACCCTGGAGCTCCTGTGCTGGTGGTCTGTGGCTGGGGTGCTCCAGCTGTCTCCCTTTTCTGCTCTCTGTGGTCCTCATAGACACCCTGTGATTTGATACTGCCTCTGAGTATACCTCTCAGCCATGCCCTGCCATGGCTCAGCACCTGGTAGCAGCTAAAGTATCATAACTGTGGCAAACTGGTTCCTTCCTCCTGTCTACTCCTCTCTGGGAGGAGAAGCAGTGGCCTCATTCCTCCTAACCTGGTGCCGTGGCTGAAGATGCCAGTCTCCGGAGAGGAGTGGTGGTTTCACAGCTGGGTGGTTACTGGGCAACTGAGATTTACCTCTTCAGTCTATTGCCCTGTGTACTGTCAGCAAGTGCTGTAGGGAAGGCTGTGTTGAAGCTTGCAGGAGGCTGGGCCATGGCCTAATCCTGCCAGTGGTTCCCTTTTTCCTGCAGTCTCTTACATAGTGCCTCAGAACTGTGTCCTGTAGCATGTTCTCTTGAGATTTCCTGACTGGACTCTCTGTTCTGTCTCCCTTAAATATACACACCAATAACAACACTAAAGATGAGATGACTATGCTGCGTTCCTGCTCCTCAGGCAGTATTTATGGGGACACATATGTATACAGAACGGTATGAATCAGCTCTAGGAGCAAGTCATGAGAAAAGAGGATTTCTTCTTCCTTTTTTTGGGAAGCAACTGAGGTGATATGCTGAGGTCTCTTAGGCACTGAGGTCCAGCTATTGCCCAGCTCCAAGGTGAAATGATCAGGGTACTAGAGAAGGGCTAGTGGGGCCGATCAGGATCCAATTACGATCGTTAGAGGAAGGCAGTGAATACCTGGCTTCTGTCCTTGACTGTCACTGTGAGCTCAAGCAGTCCATTGCTGTCCAGTTGATTCTGTTTTTCCAGCTCTGAGCAGGATTGCTACTCCATGCCTCTCATGGATTGCTGGAAAGCTTAATAAAAAATTCAAGTTGCCTTTCGTTTAAAATCTCACAGTACGAAGGACTGTGATTTTAGTGATGCAGTTCTAGGACTAGTAACAGTATTTCCTAAGGGAAGAGGAAAGTGTGGATGTGGTAGACAGGTAGACAGACAAAAAGGAGGCTACGTTAGGAGCAAAGAATTCCAAGAAAAATTAATGAGATTGTGAGACAGCCCTGCCAGAAGCAACTAATACCCTAAGCCATTCTGTGGTTGGTGATGTGAGAGGTTAGAAGGGAGTTTGTTTGCCCTTCCCCTCTGAATAATAGAGTTTTTACACAAGTCATAATGGAGCCCATAGTATGCAATCCTAATGCTTAAGCAAGTTCTTTGCTTAGGGGTGTATTACGGAGTGTGTGCGTGCATGGATGCTTATATAAGTCAAGTAGAATTTTGCTCCCTGTAGAGAAGTGAATTATACTAATAAGCAATTTTGTGTTTTATAGATTACAACTTGCAGATGATGAAAGAACAGTTGCTATTAGAGACTATGAAACCGTATATACAATTTCTGGCAGCAGTTCACCTTCAGATATTTTACCAGTGCTGTATCTCTCCTCTGAATCACCTCCAAAATATGAAGAAAAAGAGGCATCAATAACAAATAATGAATATTCTCCATCCTCTTCATCTTCATCCATTTCCTTAGCCACATCTGACACCAGCTCCTAGAGAACTGTCAACTAGACTTCATTTTTAAATGAAATTGTGCACTCAGATTTAAGATTTTTAATGTTATTTACATTTTATAATAAAAGCAATAATGTTGGCTGTGTCTTATTTTTCATCAGAAAGCATATATGATGAATTTGGGTTTTTAAGAAATATTAGATAACGCTGGGCTTCTGAGCAAATGGTTTGAAGAGATTCAGATCACTGCAAGAACGTTAAATGTTCATCTTGTTCTGTTACAGCTTTAGTTTCTATTTTTAGTTGTTCTTTATATAATGGAGGCATTAAGTAGAGACCAAATTTTCTCCTTATTTTAAGTTTATTTTAATTAAATCTGGTTGAAGCTACAAAAAAATAATAAGGGAGTGTTGTTATTTCTATTTTTTTTATGACTTTTCTGGAAAATACTTGTTTGCAAAGTTACTGACTATAGTCTGAAATCATCATGAACAGGGATGTGTAAGATGGGGAGCAAATACGGAGAACTTAAATGGCTACTTTTTGGTCTGCCTAGTAACAAACAGCTTAATTTAGACCCTCTCTGGTCATTACGTAAGTATAATCCCCATGAAAATCAGTTTTAGCCATCAGTTAAGAGCTCTAAAGCAAAGCTGAGGATAGTTAATAAGCTAACAGTTTAACTGTGGTCATGACTGATTTCACGGGGATTTTACTATTATTATATATCATTGCTCATGGTTTATGCAAGCAGCACTGATTTATTTTGTGAGAGTGAGCTCCATTTAACAAGAGTGTTTTCCAGGAGTGGAGGTTATTTATCAGCAAATGGCTCTTTCATGGAAATGCAGACAACGCACGTTTTTTAAGTGACACAGCACTTCTCAGACCTTTGAGAAATACAACCCTCTTTTAGTGCATCTGTCTCTGTGCAACCCCCTAACTTAGCAGCAGCTCCCTTTCTCCAGGATGAGTAGTGAGAATAGGTCCTAGTTCCACTCTGTGAACGTTTACACCCATTCCTGCATTGAAGGATTTTCTTCTAGTAGATAAGGATAATTAGCAGGAACTGAGTTGCTGCTAACCTTTGACACTTTATAACTTGGTCTGAATCCTATTGCAACCCCCTGATTTGAGAACAACTCACCCGGTTTTGTGCCCAGAAGCAGAAGGTGGGCAGAGCTACTATTTGGGCTTGGTTCAGCAAGGTGAATTTACCAGGGTGAAAACATCTTACAAGAGCGATCTCTGTCTTGTTCGACCAAGTCCCTGAACACCTGCATGCTCTAGGACCTCGACTACAGCAGGACTTGTGTTTTACCTTGCTGAATTTTGGGGAAGTTGACTGGAACAGAATAAGCTTTGAATTAAGTACTCAGGTTCCCTTCTGTACCTCATGTTATCGTCTGTGAACGTGCCTCTCAGCAGCACCGTTCTTTAGAGAGATGCTTAGGAGCTCCTGCCTTTGACCATTTATTTCCATGTCTGCACTGCTCCCTCAGTTGTGCTGGGGTGGTTCTTTGTGGGGCCACACAAAAACAAACAAGCTGGTAAGGGGGATATTTAGCCAGCAATAGAGCTGAGGGGCTGATGCACGCGGAGTAATGAGCAAGCACAGCAGGGAGAGGGATTTAGTATGTGGGAGCTGATTAGACTAGCATGACTCAGCCATGGAAAATGTCCATGGAATGACATTTGAAGAAGGGGATCCACAAGAGCCAGCATGCTTTCTGCCCCTTCTTCCTTCCCTCAGGTTTTTGTAAGTAGTTATTTTTTTAAAGGCTGCTGTTCCTTAAATGCCTTCTGAATCAAAGCTATTGTTTGCTTTTTCTTTTTTTCTTGTATTTAATGTTTGTGTTTCTAACCTGGTTTCTTACAATGGACCCCTACATGCGTCATGCATACAAAGGTTTGCACAGGTGAAAGGAGCTTTTCTCTGATTCCGGTTCTGTCATGCTACTATATAAGATATGCAGAAGCTGGGATATTTTACCTTAAAAATCCTATGCAGACAAAGACCCACGTGGGCTTTGTTCTGTTGTTTGCATTACTGGTGAACGCTCATTTGTTGAAAAGCTAAAAAAGCAACGAGTGCTTAATGAAAACAGAAATAGATTTCTTTTAAGTATACCATAATCTTTTTTCCGAAAAAAAAAATACAGTCACGTCTGATTCCTGTCTGTAATGTTATTAACCTTTTGTGTTGTCTGCAATTTGCTCATTCAGTTGTTCACAGGATGTACCCAAGAGACCAGATAAGTCAAGTCAAACATGTTGACTCTGAGCTGAGTCCTCTGGAAATGAAACGTAATCTTCCTATTTTTCTTCAGTGTTACTGTTTTCACCTTCTATTGCAGAATGTCCAGCATGGATCACTTCATTTCTGAAAAAACAACCTCCATGGAATGCATGCTTTTTAAAGCTGTTGGCCTGACTCTTCAGCCTGCTGAATGCATCTGAATTTACAGGGAGGGGTAGGTGTTACTTACTTCTGGAAAAAGAGGCGTGAGCACAGAATTTCCCTGTATATCATTTTGAGAGGACACTTAGTAACAACTTACAGCTGTGTAAGCATCTTTTCTTTTTCACCTGGAGGGTCATTCCTTTAAAACTCACTGGATGTGCTGGGTGCATCTCCATAACCAACTTAACACGGGAACTAACACAGCCAGGGCAACAGTATTTGCTTACTGTGTTGTCAAACACAGTAAGCTCTATTTGTACAAGGTTAGAGAATGTGATTAAGAGGCTGGCAGATCTGCCTCCACCACTGATGTCTACCACTGTATGAACAGCATTAATGGGAGGAATTTTTGACGGGGGGAGCAGAGGTGAAATGTCCATATTAGAAAGGAAGCAACACCTTGTAAAACCATAAAAGTAGCTTAAAATAATACTGAATAGCATTTTTATTGAGGAAGTGACATACTTTTCTAACACACTAATGGTGCTACAACCCCCTTTTTGCCCTAAGGTTAGCTAAAGTGCTTAACCTGACATATAAATGCTAGGGAGCAAATCAAGTTGGTTACTGATTCCCACTTACCTAAACAGGCAAAGTGGGAGGTAAGGGCTGCTTTTCCTCTGTAAGTGAAGTTATATCTTCATTGCTGAATGCACTGACATTGTTCTTCCATTTGGAACACTACCATCATTTGGATACGAAAAGGATTCACAAATATATAAATAGATGCCTCTTCCCTAAGATAACTCTTTCCTCCTGCATCACTACCACTTAGAAAACATAAGAACTAACTCATCTAAAAAACTGAAATTGCATAGGTCTCTAAAATGATCCTGCATTATCAGGATAGCTGCTGCACATATACATTGTTAGATCGCACCCACTCATCCTGGCCCTTTGTGGTTTGTAGATATGTCCTTAGGAGGCAGATCTGAAAGATTCGTGAAGCACAAGAGAATTTCTGATTCTTGCTTTCCCATTAGTCAAACTTCTAAATAAAATCCCATGTCCTTTGCTGTTTCCTTAAAGTCATCCATGGGAAAAGGGGCTGTTGCTATTCACACTCATTGCTCTGTTCTGTCTCTCCCACTATCCCTTTTCCATCATACCTTTTAGAGCAGGGATGGCCATGGTCTATTTGCTCATGGGTCATTTCTGCGTCCAGGCAGATACTCCTACCAATACCTTCATGTTTCGGCAGCTAATGTGTCAACCTTCATCCAGATTTGTGCTCCTTCCTCTATCATACGCATGTATCTACATACCTACTTACGGAAATACCTTCAATTTAGTTGCCCTGCTTACAAGGTAGCATACCATAGGAGCAGATAAAAACACCTTATAGGCTGGATATGGTTCTGGGCTGCTGGCTGAACTACCCATTTCAGCATATTCACTCTTTGAGGCTGGCATTGCAGTGGTAGAGGGCCCAGAGTGTGAGGCCCACTCATGGTTGTTCTTTAGGTACTAGTTTAATACACATAATTCATCTTTTTCACTACAGATGCCAAATACAGTATACTTCCTGTAGGAAAAAGTCCCTCTTAATAGAATCATTGGCTACTCTATCTCCTTATGACTCAATATCCGATTATGGGGTGGGGGAGGATAATTTGAACCTATTCTTTTAAAAGCTGATCAGTATGCAATACCATAATATAACTTAGTTTTTTTTTTAATGGCATCTTTTTAATGCTCTATAACTCTGTCCCTGACTATATTACAGGCGTATAAGAAAATATAACCTTACTAAATTAGGCTTATAATGTGAACAACTATGTAAAAATTAATAGCGGAAAAGGAGGAAAAAAGGATTAAGTGAAGGCCTGTCAGTGTATATTAGGATGACTCTTGAAACAGGTTAGAGAATTGAGGAGGTGCACAGCACTACAGAAAATCTGCTTCCAACAGCAAGCACTGCAGGGGAAGACTGCATTAGTGACAGAAAATTATGCTGAGGAACAGAAAGCAGAGCATTGTCAGACTGAGAGGTCTGGGTTCAGGCGTAAGGACCCTGAAGCAGACCAGAACAAAACTGCAGCGATACCTGAAAACAACACCCACTTCGAAAAAGGATCCCAAAATGAATCAAGGAACCACTTGAAGATAGTGGGGATGCAGTCTCCCCTTTGACTGTATGACAAAACTGATAGCAATCTTCTGCAGGACATAACGATCCTACTGTAACTAAATCAGAAAGATTTCACCAACTCAGTTCAATCTGTTAGGTTTTACAAAACTGCTTTATTTTGTTTAGCAGTTATTCCAGATAAAAGGGATGCATTTAGTAAATCAACATCTTTAAGTGAGTTCCCAGAATATCCATTTACTCAGCAAAGCAAAGTATCAGCCTTAAAAAATCAATGTGAGCTGGTAATCTCTTAGACCTTGACCGCTACCTAAATGCAGCACTGGCACTGTAATGTAAAGGGAGAAACATGGGGAAGGTTAGAGTACGTTATATCCTAAAGACAAAGGGGTGCAGTTTACAAGGAAAAGTGGAATTTTAATTTAGATATGACTGTACCAAACAATAAAAGAAATATTTTTCATCCCATTTTCAAAGTTAAGTGGCAAGTAGTGTTGGAAGAAATCACTTGTACTCTCCAGTTATACAGTGCACTTGCTTGATCCTCAGCACGGTATGTCCTAGGCCAGAGACAAAGAACGTAAACCATGGGGTAATGCAACACATGACTTGGAAAACACTGACTCCAGCAAGCATCTAGGGAACATTGTATAGGACTGAAGAAGTGCTCCAGGACAATGCTCCTGCAAATAGTGGTTGAGCAGTTCTTGAATCAATGAGAGTAGGAAGGCGATATTACATCTGTACATGCCATTAGTGAGACTACTATAATGATATAATAGCGCTTTAAAAAGGATGTTGGAAAATTTGGAAGATTCAGTGAACAAAGACAAGAATGATTCATGGTATGGAAAAATGTGACTTCCAGAGAGCAGTAACAGACATTCATTCCATTTAGTTTACCAAATATAAGGTTAAAGGTGACTTAGTTTTGGCTATAATTACCCATAATGAGAGCTTATCTAACAGTTTAGAACTTTTTCATTTAGTTGTAGTAATATGTCCACTACACTGTGGGACCTAATGCTTAGAGCAAGTGGTGCACAGAGCCCTGGCTAGAGCTGGTTCTGAGGGAAGGCCTGATCTTGAGTATGTTTGTAGGAAAATATGTTGGCACCCTCAGTAACAGAAGAATTTTAGGAACAGCCATAATACTGTCTTCAGCAACTTCCCAGAATTTTTTTTAAGTAGTCCAGCACTAATATTCCTCAAGGTCCATCTGCTGACAAATGAGAACAGAAAGATACATCTGCACTGACATTCAGCATCAATTCTGAATACATTGAATTCTGTAAGCAGGCAACTTCAGAACTGAACTCTTATCACACTGCGCGATAAGCATGCACAGTAGACTAAAGGCACCTTCACTAATTTTGAAGAAGCAGTCTGAAAAAAGGTGTGTTTTCTAGATCTGGGGCTATTTTTACTTTTGAAATCTCAGGATAAACTTGCTTCCACAGAGCTATTAGTAGCAGGAAATAGCATTATACATCCTTCCACCTGAGGAATAATCTGTATGTTGCTTGTACTCCCCTGCTATGCTAATCAAAACAGATTGAGTAGTTGAAGATTCTTGCTCCTTAAGGATTTACACAAAGACATTCTATCAGAACACTCTGACAGCAATTACTTTATTCTGAAACTGTTTATGAGATATGGATAAGCAATCCTAGTGTATCCTGGCTTAGGGCTTGATCCCACTGAAGTCTGTGGTATTTATTTCAGTAGGAGAAGAAGGAGACCTATAGGAATAAATACTCTTCTGCAAACAGCTTGGGTATGTGTAGACTACAAACTAGCTGTTGCCAGGATACTGTATTAATCCTGCCATTATTGCAGTGCAGGTTTCAAACATGAAGTCCCGGGAATTAAGGGAATATGGGGAATCTATTAGCCATACATTTTTGTCAGAAGGAAATTTCAACAGAACAATTCATTGTGATAAAAAAGAAATATTCTGGGTACTTATGAACACAGAACTTACCTTATAGGATGAGACCCCTTACTTACCAGGTTTAACACTGCAGGATACACTTGCTCATTCCTGCAACTGTACACCATTCAGGGAATGCAGCCATTGTTTAGTCTAAACTCTAAGGAAAGGGTGGAGATCCCACAGCAAAAAATGTCCACAGTTACGGGGAAATTGCAGAGTAATTATGCTACCTTCATACAGCTGAAAAGCTTTGGCTTGCCTGAAATAACTTTTCTCCTGTAACCTGTCAGGCTGTTCAGCACTCACCACCTTGTTTCTGCTTACTCTCCCATTCACCCACTAACCCTTACTGGCAAAATATCAGAAAGCTTACTCTGATATTTTTCAACCGCAGAAGTTCTGGACTGCAGAAAGAGCTGCAATACAGGGCCAGACGTGGCTATAAATGTCACACTTCAGAACACCAAAGCGCTCACCACGATGGTCATGTATTTTCCTGCAGATCTGGGCGGTCAGAGTGGTTGCCCAAGGAAAGTGAGTGACTGAGTCATCGCAGTGCTATTGACTAAATGTATGCTGTCCATATGTTGGATGCGTCAGCTGGCAGAGGGCCCAGGAAAAGCTGTGGTGTCTGCAGCTTCCTTTCTTTCCCATCTGGCATGGGCACAGTGAGGAAGTATCAGCGGGTGCCAAATTAAAGAAGAGGATAAACAAAGGGACAAGTAACCATGAAAGGGTGAAGCCATTTCGGAAGCATTGGTGGTAATTCAAGAAGTCTTAAGTGATCACTTCAAGCCTCACTTCCCAGACCTTTATTCCTCTAAGCAAAGTTTATTCTTTCACATGATGGACTCTGTTAACCACACTGCACAAAGTTCTTGTATAATTAACCTGAACCTTCGACTTTATATGCTCAGCAGAGTGCCTTACAAACACTCTTTCTGTTGAGGCAGAAGAGACGCTACATTCAGTAATGGAGCAGAACAACAGTGTAGAAGATTTCTCCCTGAATGTATTTTCTGTCGCTCCTTATCAGCCTAACAGATCTGATGTCCTGGTGTCAGATGGTGATAAAGCTGGTGCCACTTTGCTCTTTTCAGGTGTGTTTTTGGGGCTGGTAGGGATCACATTCACCGTAATGGGATGGATAAAGTACGACGGCATTACTCACCTGGAATGGACTCAGTTACTAGGGCCTATTCTGCTTTCTGTTGGGGTGACTTTTATTCTGATTGCTGTTTGTAAATTCCACATGCTTACATGCAAATCCTGTAAAGAAAGAGACGAAAATGCATCAGACATCGACCAGATGGCAAGTGGACAGTCCTTTGTTTTCACCGGAATTAACCAGCCTATAACTTTCCATGGTGCTACAGTGGTACAGTATATTCCTCCACCATACCCAGCTCAGGAAGGCATTGCTGTGAACCCAGCCTACTTTCACCCTGTGCTCAGCTGCTGTGGTGCTGGTTCCTCTGGTGCCACACCAATTCCTACCCCAGACTCTCCTCAGTTCTGCCCTGCTTACTCTCTCGATAACCCAGCTTTTACTGAGGACGAGGACTATGCTACTTACCCCCCAGAGGACACAAGGACTCAGAGGTAAGTCTTCTGCAATGCCTTAGTATACTTGGACACAAAATTCTGAATATTTTTAAGTGCCAAGTATGATTTCAAAGGAAACATGCTACTGCAGGGTGTTATCCTTCTTTGTTATCCTTCTTCAGACTTTTTTTTTGCTTTGTTAGTAGTATTTCTAGAGTAAAAACTATGGAGGCACACTTTTCCTGGCAAGCATTTTCATCCAGATTAAATTCACTTATAAATCCCACTCAATTTTCAATGTACTAAATCTCTTGTTATTTTCAAAGATATTACTACATAAGCTCCTCTCTGTGGATTTTTTTTATGCTTATCTTATCTTACTACCTTTTGATGACTGTTGACCAGAAGGTTATATGTATGGATAGAAGATTCCACCCAAACAGAATCACAGTACAAGAGCCGGTGTACAAACAGTGTTTTTGTGACAACAACAGATGAGTTCAGTACCAGATGTTCTCCCTGCTAATTATGCACTCTCCTCTGCCACTGCAGCAACCTTCCAGCCTTTATTTTGTTCTTACTTTTGGAGTATATACAGATCACTGATATTACAGAGCAGTGTGAAACTACTTTAATCAGATATAAAATAATTTTATATAGTTATTTTTATTTACATCCTTCCTAGAATATAATTCATTTAGTTCCTGTATCAAAGTGTATTTGAAAAATTGCTGGCTAACTCACTGTCCTCAGCACCATGGGTGACACACAGGCAGTATGCAAATGCAGGTCACATCTTGACATGATTATACTTTATACAAAGAATACAGCAAATGGTTGGATTGCAGTAAAACTTCATCTTGTAACATTTTCTCAAGCAAAACTCTCACTGAAGTCAAGAAGTGCTTTGGCTGGACAAGGGTGACAGGACACAGCAGTGAGGTTACTGGTATGCTTTGTGTTTGTTCTCTTTTTGCTCCAGCTCCTCTTTCTATTTGCAGGTCAGACGACAGTTCTGATGAGCCAGAAGAATTGCTAGAAGACTATGCCTGCCATGACCTATCACCTCCCCGTTATGAGGAAATATACCCACTGTCTTCATGAAAAGTATAAAATAAGCATGGACAATGGACTGCACTTCTAAGAGATGCCAGCTTTTCAATTCCCAAGTATCTTTCTTCTAAATACTTGCATGCTAAGCAAGTGTGAACAAGAGCTTCATCCTGATACGGAGTTCAGTATCACTGAAGAAATTTAACCAACTCCTTCTTGCATTTAACCAATCACTTCTTTTTCTCCCTCAGAATTCACTAGCCCTTTGCTATGCAGCAAAGCTATTATACTCAGGGACCAAAATCCATATTAGGGTTCCTAAGCAAGGAGCCTGAATATCAGACCTATTGAAATCAGTGTGAGCTGTGAATGTACAAGGGCTTTGCAGAAGGTCATGACTGCTTCTGCAGTTTCCGCATCATTAGAAACCACTTGATTTATTCCTGAGCTATTTTGCCTCTTAATTGCGTGGGAAACTTCAGAAATGCCCAAAGGTTTGATATACCAAAGTGCCTATAATATCTTAATCCTGTCTAATTCCTTAGCCTACTCGCTCGCGAGTAAACCCAGTCCATAGATTAGACTTCCTCTGCTTGGTTTACCTGCAGGACCCAGTCAGCAGGCATCCTCATCCCCCTGTTTCCCATCAAGATTCCTTATAATTAATAGCCCCAAGTGAAAATGGCACCTTCCTGAAGCCTTGACAGAGGACTGTGGTCCTACCAGTCTTGAGGGCTTTAACAGTCGCAGCTCCTGTCTGCTGCAGCCTCACTGCAGAGGGAGAGCTGTGGTGCAAGCCCTCCTGAGGTCCCTTCTTTTCTGCACGTGGGGCCTAGGCACACAACTCAGGGCTGTAGGTCCTCCTAGAGCATCCAGGTAACTGCATCCTTCAGTGAACTTCTATGCTCAAGTTCTGCTTTCAAGATCAGTATGATCAGCTCTAAAACCTTGCAATCCAGAGCAGTGGTCCTGAAAAGCCTGGCTCAAGGGGTTCTAAACCCCAAGACAATAAATATACCATGAGTCTTTTCATTTTTATTTTTTACTTCCACGCATGCCTAAAGTTCAGCTTCTGAGTATGCTTAGAAGTGCCCTGACACAGCTGCACAAGTCAGTACTTACTCTGTGCAGGAGCCCCACAGGTATTTCCCGCCAATCTCCCTTGAAGGGCTCAAGCCCAGAGCCACTCTCAGCCCATGCCTGGTTGGGCAGGCAACGCACCAAATGCTGCTAGAGGGCAATGGTCACAGTCCAAGCAAGAGAGCTGTGCTGCTGGTGTGCACTCAGGCCAGTCTCCTGGCTTTGAATCACAGTCGAAGGCAGCAATCAATTTCTGAATGTGTGAACTGTCAATTTGCCAACACAACTGTTTCAGTTCCAGCCAGTTGTCATTAGTCTGTGAGGACTTCCTGCACTCAGAAACAAACCGCATCCAGAGAGGCCCCCAGGAGCTAACATGCCACAGAGCCCAGTGCACCCAGATGCAGCCTGTGAATGCTCAGGTGCTTTGGGCTGGAGGAGCCAGGTGCTGAGCAGGCAGATGAATACAGGATGCACCTGGCTGCACAGCTGGAACGCACTAAGTGCCCACGCAGCCTCACTAGCGATCAGGATACATAGCTCTGGAGGGAGAGATGCATTCAGGCTGTGCACCAGTTGTGTGAAGCTCCAGATGCACACTGACCTCCCTGTCCTGCTTATTTAGAAGACGCCAAGAAATTAAGCTTTTTTGGAGGGGCACAAGAGACAGCAAGCTGCTAGAGTAAGTGCTGCGCTCTCCAGTGCTAGAAATGACACCAATAGAGGTCATATTTGGGACAGAGCATTTAAGCTGACTCAAAGCGGGATTAGCAACTGTAGCAGCATCTACCAGACAGTGACTATTAACCAAGTGCAAGGTTTTCTCACTAGAGAAATATAGGGCATGAAGAATTCAGCATCAATAGGCCTGCTGTTAGTGGGAAGCATGTGTAGCTTGGAAAAGGCAGGTACTCTGTGTTCAGCCTAATTTCCACAGGATTAAGTAAGAGAACAGCAGGTCTAAAAATAAATGCAAGGTGCTCTTATCGAATCACTTGCTCCTCTTCCAGACTTTACACAGAGGTGAACTCATCCTCTGCAGCAGGAAACTGGAAGGTCCCAAATCCTCAGTTAGCTCCACGTGGACAGATCCCTGCACTTAGTACACAGCTTGCTGACGAGTGCTGCAGGAAGAGAGGTTAGGCTTGATGAAGCCAAATGTGGGATCAAAATTTTTATCCAACCTCCCTCCCCTGCAACAAGAAAATGCCTTCAGTCACAAACCAGAGACTTTTTTTGCTGCTTTTTTTGCAAATACATGGAAAGGTATGTTTCATGGAGTAATCATGGCTTTATTTTTATGATGTCAAGTCATGTTGTCAGGGTAAACGTGAGAAATCCAGAAAGTTGCACTTGAGATTGTATATGGGTTTTCAAGTTTACTTTTGTAGATATTAAGTTCATTGAAAGAGCCTTGAGTTTCTTTTTAGAGAGAAAGTTGAATAAATAAATTTAAATAATTACATATTAAAATAGTCTTGACCCATCAGATGAAATCTGTCCCCATTCTATAGGAGTGCTTTAGTGCTGTATTTGAATTATTTGAAAAGTTCCAGTCTGATGACATTTCTTTGCCATTCTGATTGCTGTTTTTTAAGAATATGGCAATAGTCTATGAAAGCTTTTCTTTCTCCTCTTCCTTCCTCCTTTCACTTTCATCTTTTTTCCATTTTAACACATTTCTTCCATTAGCTTTTTTTTTTTTTGCTTTTATTACCGTATTCTCAGTGATGTAACTGTCACATTAATTCAACTCTGAGCGCTCTGACCGCTTATTTGTCCTACGATGTATGAAAGAATAAACATATTTAGGCAGCTCTTCAACCCAGGTAAACTGGCACAGCTCCATTGATTATACTGATTTAAATCCTCAGAGCATCTGGAAAATTATCTTTCAGATTTTGCTCAACTTTACTTGCCATTTAAACTACAGCTTTTATAAACTATTTAAACAAATTTTCCTTCTCCTGGACTGCCGGTGCTATTGCTAACCTGCAAAACTATGCTTTATTTCATTGAAATGCCCCTTACACTTCAGCCGTAGTGTGATTCCAGCCATTTTATGTGATTCTTCAACCACGTATCTTTGCATGGGCTGTTGGGATGATGCCTTAAGTGACCCCATTTATAAGATTTTGACCATCAGCTGGTTAACCTGTGAGGTTTGGTGGGGACGTGCCTATCGATTCAAAGCTGAGCAGTGGCTGTTTATTACGGCAAAAATTCTGCGCTCTGGGAGCTGTTTCAAACCGCGAAATGCCGTGTGCCGAACGCAGCTGCAGGGTGCTCATTTCTTAACAGGCAAAACCGGTGGTTACGCCCCGCGGCAGGTCTGCGGGGGCTGCGAGGAGCCGCGGGAACAACCGGGGCAAGGTTTCCTTCGGACTTCCTCGCCAAGCCCCCGCTTCGCCGGCTACCCGCCTTTCTTCCAGCGAGGCCCCCGTGCATGTGCACGCACGCAAAGGCGGAAAGCCTCTACAAACAGGTGCCCAAAAGGAGGTGAAACAGCCTGGCGCCTTGCTGCATTCCTAAAAGCGTTATTTTTAAACTGAATCAGGAGTTAAAAAATTGAGGTCTGAGAAAAATAGCCAACCAGTGAGTAGGGCCGGTTCCGCTCCCGGGGCGGCGG